GTGTTTCGGGTCGTACACACGTGGGTGGTGGGAGGGTCGTCATAGATATATATATATATATATATATATATAGAGCACAAGTTTCAATTTTATAGCAATAAAACAAATTTAGAGATAAATTTTAAAAATTCGAGTTTAAACCATGAAAATTGTAAATTAATGAGATAAAATTGAAGATAATTATTTCAAATTGAAAAAAATACTTTTTCACTTACTAAATGTACCAAGAGTGCATGTTTGTCAAAATCCCTTATTTTTTCAACAAAATAATTTGGAAAATAATTACTATAGCAACTAAATATATATATATATATATATAAACGAAATGGCACAAGAAATTCATACCTAATTATTTCATCGTTTTTCTTCTCATAATCGTATTTCTGGCCAAAATCGAGTTACGAAAATTGCTCAGTTTGACCAATTTAGCATTGTGATTCTGTGATGAACTCTCTCATCTTCAAAAGGTACAAATTTTGATTGAAAAAAATTATAAAAGATAGAGAAATCGATCTTTGGATGGATTTTTTTTAACTCAAAACTGAAACTCTGAGTCTCAACCCTACACACTAAAAAATTGAGCATGAAAATTCTCAGTTCAACCAAATTATCACTGTGATCCTGTGATGAACTCTATGATCATTAAAAGGCACACTTTTTTATTGAAAAAAAATAAAAAAGATAGAGAAATCGATCGTTGCTCGGATTTTTTTGAACTTGGAACTGAAACTTTGAGTCTCAGCCCTAAACACTCAAAATCATGTATGACAAAGTGCTTAGTTCGACCAAATTAAGATTGTGATCATGTGAGGAACTTTATGATATTGAAAAGGCATTAATTTAGTTGAAAAAAACTAAATAAAAGAGCCCTAAATCGATCCTTGGGCAAAACAATTTCAATACTGTGAAGAACTCCAAAAAAAAACGAGCTCAATAAATTTATTTTTGATGATTTTTTGTTGTAAAATTTTCGATTTATTGACTATGATCAATTTTTGTAAATAATTGACTTGCAAAAGGTTAAAAAAGCTTGAAAAATAATAAGCAAAACTGAAGGCCCGAGGGATACAACGCACGGTCCATTTCTGCATCAAATAAAGGTTCATTTTCGCTCATTTTTTCTATAAACTGGCCGATCAGAAAAATGTATTTCCCGATTCATGAGAATTTCAAAGAGGTTGGTTTTTTGCATAGAGCATTTGGAGAGGTCCAATCCTCCTTGTACCCCTAAAACCGGGGATAAGCAGCACCGGAAAGGTCCCGTTTTAAATATCTCACCAGCCGAATCCGGGTTGAAAAACTGGAAGGATCATGTCACCATACCAAACCGGTTTAGAAGCGACCAACTCCGGACCAGGTTCCAAGTTTTGAAAGTCGTTTTAGCACTGCTTACACGAAACTCCAAGGGCATCCTTGTTATTCCAAGGGCACTTCACTGCAAAGCGCCACCGCCTGAAAGGAGCGGCGCCGCCATGGCGAGCCAAGCCCAGCGCCACCTCCGCCTCTCTGTTCCCCCTAGACCCTCTTACCCTTTCTCTTCCAATTACCCTAACCGTACCCCCGCCCCTACCCCCTCCAAAACAAGGCGGACCCCTCCTCTTCTTCCCCCTCACCTCTTCCTCTCTTCTCCTCCTCCTCCTCTCTCTCCACTCTCTGTACACCCTATCTCCCCTCTCCCCCCACCTCTCTCTCTTACCTTTCTCCTTTCTTCTTTCTCTTCTCTCCTCTGTTTCTCTCTCTCTCCTCCATTTCCGCCATCTCAACAACCACCACTTACCTATTTCGGCATCTCAGCTCCGCCGCCTCGTTTGCAAATCCACCATTGTGGCTGCTATTTTTCCTTTGCGCCTTCTCTCTCTAAGTATTTGTAGGCCCTATGTTACCATTCTTGCTGAGATTTCGGGCCAAATTGCTGCTACTCGTGCCACCTCTCCCTCTTCTCTCACTGCCATTGCTGGTGCCCTCCTTTTTCTCTCTCTAAAACCCCCTTCTGATTGCTCTGCTTTCCCTGCCATTGTTGTGCCTTTTGTTACCGGTGTCCTGAGCTCCATCGAGAGAAACCCATCTCTATGGGTGTCTTTGAACCCACTAGGGCGCAAGAGAATTAGGGTTTTCTCTCTCTGGTTCGCCACTTTTCTCCTCTTTCCCCCTGCTCTTGTTAGCTTCTGGTACTATGGATTCGGCTCGAGCTTTGGAGCCCTAATTTGGCCAAGTCTTTATATGGTTATTTTCTCTCTTATAGTTGGCGATTCGCTCAAGCACAGAAACCAATTCTCGATTACTCTTCTCTGCACCTGCATTCTCGAGCTCTTGTATTCTCCTGCTTTCTCTCTATTCAGTTTCTCTCTCTGTGCATTCCTCATAGTGATCGCCTCTGGTGAATTCGTTTTTTCTCAGGATTCTGGTTACCCTGATCTGGGCTATGGAGATGCATCGAATGCCTCCTTCTCCGCTATAGCAAACCCAATTCGCCATATCCTCAGTGAGAGAAAATCTAGGAAGATTGCACTCTTTCTATTGATCAATACTGCATACATGGTGGTTGAATTTGTGGCTGGCTTTATGAGTAATAGTCTCGGATTAATATCAGATGCTTGCCATATGTTATTTGATTGTGCGGCTCTGGCTATCGGGCTCTATGCTTCATATATTTCTCGATTGCCTGCAAATGAGAAGTTCAATTATGGTAGAGGAAGGTTTGAAGTTCTCTCTGGTTATGTGAATGCTGTATTTCTGGTTCTTGTTGGGGCATTGATAGTCTTGGAGTCATTTGAAAGGATATTAGACCCACAAGAAATCTCGACAAATAGCTTGTTGGTTGTGTCTGTAGGGGGGCTTCTTGTGAATATTGTGGGTTTGATCTTCTTTCATGAAGAGCATCATCACGCTCATGGTCACGGTTCATGCTCCCATTCTCATACACATAACCATCATCATCATGGCCATGAGCATGAGCATGCTAATTCATCTGTGAACCATAGCCATGCTTGCACAATTGCACCAGATGCTTGTAAAAAACCGGTTTTGGAACATCAATGCTCTATCTCTATCACCAATGGGGAGTGCACGGCTTCCCATGATGCCCATGGCCATGATCATTCTCATGACCATGATAATCATCTCCATGATCATCACCACGAGCATGGATGCAGCCATGATAATCATCATCATGACCATGATAATCATCACCATGGTCATCATCATGACCATGATAATCATCTCCATGATCATCACCACGAGCATGGATGCAGCCATGACCATGGGGGCCATGGCAATTTTCAAGAACATCTGGGAAACCATTCTGTAAATCATGGGAGAGAGGACCTGCCACATTCACAGAGTCTCCATGACCACCATTGCAAGAGCCACCCAAACGAAAATCAGACACATACCCAAAAGCATCATCATCATGACCATGGCGATGGTCACCACCAACACCATCACCACGATAATGGCTTCCATACCATTTCACAAAAACACTTTGAAAGCCATCCTGAAAATCAGCAAAGGAAAGATGAGACACACTCATACAGTCTCCATGATCAAGGGCATGGTCATCATGCTATGGAGGATAAACATCAACATCATGACCATCATGGTCATCGTCACATAGACCACAACATGGAGGGCATCTTCTTGCATGTTTTGGCTGATACAATGGGTAGTGTAGGTGTGGTAATATCCACTCTTCTTATCAACTACAAGGGATGGTTGGTAGCTGACCCAGCTTGCTCCATTTTCATCTCAGTGCTAATTGTTTCCTCTGTTATTCCTTTACTGAGAAACTCAGCTGAGATTTTGCTCCAAAGGGTTCCTCGATTTTTAGAGAGAGATCTCAAACAAGCAATAGACAAGGTCATGAGGATTAAAGGGGTCCATGACTTCCAAAACATGCATGTGTGGAGTTTAACTAACAAGGATATGGTGGGGACTCTTCACCTCCATGTTTTGGCAGGTGAAGCTGATAAAGGTTTGGTGAAGGAGCAAGTATCCCGCATCTTAAGTGTGGCTGGAATAAAAGATTTAACACTTCAAGTGGAGTATATGAGGTCTGAGTGATTGACCCATTCTTAAAGGTGAATGAGCCAGTAGAGTCCCTCCTGCTCACTTGGAAGTTTTGACGACTTGTAAGACCACCTTCTCGACATTCTCCGATCCCAATTTTGTACCATAATTGTTATTTATTATAAGTGTAGCAGAATTATTATTACTTCCCAAGTTTTGAACTATCTATGGAAATGATAATATTTGAATTGACTTGTGAAATTCATATCCAAGTATCAGATGTCATGCCTCCTTTTCAAGTATCATATAATGTGAAATCATTATTTTTGTAGCATAACTTGTACTAGAACATTATAGAATCCATGTACAGATTGATGTATTTATACTCTATTTGTTGGTGACCTCTTTCTTTGATATTCTGTTGATGGTAATGATCTGAGGAGCTTTTTGCTATCTAGTTTTTCGGGTAACCTGCTTTAATTCCAAAGATTTTGGCAGTTAGTAAACCTTGTCAAGGAGATGTTTACTTGTACTCTTTAATGGTTAGCTTCTATTCTTTTTAAGATTGTATTTAGTGTGATGCATGATGCATTTTATGTCAGTTAATTGGAGCTAGATGATCTCAATTCTTGAGCAGTTCTTTTTTTTTTTTGGTGATCAAATAAATCATTGCGAACGTATTATGTACTTCTTACAGATCAGATTACCATTATCTAGGTTTTCCCCAAATGTTTGCTCTATTTAGTAAAAAGTAAAGTATGGAGCATTTAAACTTGCATTGTTGATGCCTTACGCCAGTTTTAGGAGCATGATTCTGGCCACTATCTTGTTCAGTTGCTCTTACAAGTTTTTGTTTTATTTGCATAATAAAGAGTAATAAGTTATATGCTTGAGAGCTAGTTGGTTCAGGTAATTCGACTGACTTCTAGCTAGGAGTAAAAAGTGAAGCTTGAAGCATTTAGACTTACATTGTTGATGCCTTGTGCTAGTTTTTGGAGCATGATTCGGGCCAATATCTTGTTCAGTTGCTTTTACAAGTATTTTTATTGGTTGCATAATAAAGAGTAATAAGTTATATGCTTGAGAGCTGGTTGGTTTCAGTAATTTGACTGACGTCTAGATAGGAGCAACTATGATGTTATGGAATTCTTCTTCTTCTCTTTAGAATGTTGTGAAACATCTCTGGTGCAGATAAACATACAAGTTGCCTTAGGCAGTACCCCTGCCATCACTAGGGCTAGCAATGAGCTGGGCGGCCCGGCCCTACCCTAAAAGAGTAGGGCCTGGGCTAGGGCGTTGGCCAGGCTAGGGCCAGGGACTAATAGGGCCGGACCTATGGGGACAAGGGCCAGGCCAAGGCCAGGGCTGGCCCGGCCTTTTGCCACCCTTAGCCATCACATGACTCCTATGTCTCCTTGATTGAAAATATCTCATTGTTAATGGATGAAAACAATATCTGTAGCTTCCTAATCCCCTTTGCATTGTCGCTCTTATCTGAAAGGCTTAAAAGCTCCTTAATCTCCTTACCTTGCCAATTGAAAGAACTGCCAAGCATTATCCCCTACCTACCTTGCCAATTAAAAGCTCCTTAAGTCTCCTAATTGTGCTTAAACAGTCCTCAAAGAGAGAAACATTATTGCACTGGTTTTCCTCATCGACGTCTGCCTAGTTGACTCCTTTGCAGTTTCTTGCCTCGATAGTTTTATTTTTGCCCCATTCCACAAACAAACACAAATGGGGTTAATGACAGCGCTTTCCTCATTTGTCTCCCATTACACTAAAACCAATCCAAACTCTCAATGAGACTAGCCTAATCCATATGAATAACTGAAGAAGGGTAGCAAAACTAGCAAGGGGTATCAGTCCTCCTTAGGCCTGAGAGCATTATCCCTCGGGTGGTACTCTTGCAGGAGATGCTATACATTTCTTGAGTTTAACATGGGATCAGCTTGAATCAAAACCCCTAGGTTTGGAGCAATGTTGTTTATTGGAAATCTGTAAATCTGAATTTGATGAGAAATGTTGGAAGGCTTAAAATATCCACATATTTTTTTACATTTGCTTTTTTCAGTTCTAAATAATTAACTTTTCCACACCATTTCCAATATTGTGCCCATAAAGTCAATTTTTTCTGCCATGTGTTTCAGATCTCTCATATATTTTGTTTTAGGTAGTGAATTCAGATTGTTATTTCACCTTGAGTACCTTCATGAGCTGGTTGATCGCACCATAGTTGTACCCCTGTTTCCCGCAAGTTGTTGCACATTCGACATAAGAGATATTAGGGCATCTTAACACTTTTAGACCTAGAAGATGTAATCTCTAGCATTCTCTCTTTTGTTCACCAAGTTTTCTTAAGGGCAAGCTTTCTATATTTCTCTTAATATATAATAGTTATAATACTTTCCCTTATCTAGCAGTCAGATCAGAACAGTTGATATGGATCCAATTACAATCTCATGCATCTACAAAGTTTTATTTTTAATTTTTTTCTACAGAATATTTTGACACCAAATTTTGGGCGTCCACTCCTTTCTTAAACTCGCACCTCCAAAAAATATAAAACAATATACCCGATAAAATAAAATGACCAAAATAACCCTGAAAGTTGTAAGGGTATTTTGGGTATTTTATTTTATTGGAAAAAAATTATATATTTTTTAGATGTACCTCATTGTGATATTTCATATTCATATAATTTGTATAATAAAAACTAAAAATAAAATGCTTTGAGGCGTTGGATCTTGGTCAAACGGTTTATTTGATTTAAATTGGAGGACTTAGGTCAAACTTTAAATGATTTATTTGATCTAAATTGGAAGGCTGGATGGTGTAGTATAGAGGTTCTATACAACCGTGGAAATATAGAAACTTTTTCCTTTTTCTTTTCCTCCCGAGCACTTTAATAATGTTTAATCGGGAAAGTGGTCAGCTGACCAAACAATCAGCCATAGCAATTTGCTTCTAAAATTAAAAGTATTGACTGCGATCACTTCATTCTATTGCTTAGGGCTCCGCTTTTCTTTTGTGGGAATCAAGATTTAAAGATTTTGTTTTATTTGTCGTTCTTTTGTGGGAATCAAGATTTAAAGATTTTGTTCTATTTGTCGATGATTGACCATCTTCAATCCTGAATTACAGTTTTTAGGCTGTCGGAACATCTTGCTAGTAGCATTCTGTCTTCCTTTTATTCACTTGAACTCAAGTTGCTGAACTCGATTGTGTGAACAGGCCTTCCAAAAATTCGGTCTGTATTGGTAAATTGCCGATTTGGATTGGTGATTCAGACCAATTCTCCGATGTTGTCCATAGAAATTGCAAAATTAAAAAAAATAAAAAGGAAAATAATAAGATAGCATATTGTGTGGAAAAATAGATCGCCCCGTTTTCGAACAGAATTGCTGGCGATTCAAGGAATCAGACCAATTCCCTATTCTGACAAGGAATGGATCGGTCATGATCGATTCCTAGATCGACATTTCCAGCCAGGTTTTAAATCATTGGTTATAATACTAATATATATTTTATGATGTACTTGCTACATATATTTTTCCTGTATATTGCAATTTTTACGTAGGTATGTATTCATTTGTACATTGTGAAGTGACAATTATATGGAAATGCAAATACTCCAGGAATGGCTTTGGGTCCAGGAGGTCTGGGCGGTTGGGCACCACAACATGACACTAGAATTTCATTTCTGTCAATATCTTAAGTTCATCATCATCATCTGAGTCTTATCCCAAAGTCCCCAAGCTTAAAGAAAATAGGGAGGGTTGTATTAGGTTCGTAGTCAACGTAAAACTTTTGTCACATCCTTTCATGAATCCTGAACCAATATCTAAAGATAACATTTTTTTTTAAAAAAAAAACAAAACAAAACAAATTCTTTAACAAGCATATAGCTAAGCCATGAGTTAGTTTACCAATTGGATTTGGCTAGGCCACCGGCCTTTGGGCCGAGGTTGGCTTCAAGCCAGGCCAAGTTCGGTCCACACATGCACTTGGATGCACACACACACAAATATATATGTGGTTAGCTCACTAGCTGACAGCTACAATATAAGCCCAATGCGCCCAATGCCCAAGATTGAATTGGGCTATATCAATGGTCACAATTTTATTTTGTATTTTAATTTTAATTTATTTTTTACAAATTCAAATCACTTGAAATTTTGAGTGTTTATTTTTTAAAAAATATGAAAGCTTAATAAAAATATCAAAAAATAATTCGTAAAAATAAATTAACAAAAATACCCTTGAACCTTTAAGGGGTATTTTAGTAAATTTATTTTTTATAAATTATTTTTTAATATATTTATTAAGTAGGCCTTGATGAAAAGAACATACATTCAAATTTCATGTGATTTAGATTTGTAAAAAAATATTAAAATTCTATTACGAAATGAGGTCGTGACTGTCAAATGGGCTTACACTATTCCATCCGCCCTTAGGGTAATGGGATATATTTATATTAGGCGAAGAGGACCACCCCGCTTATTCTTTTGCCATGTGTCCCATGATATTAATAACCATCTCTTTCTTACATTCTCTCATGCACATACATATCATACACTCTCTCCCCCAATTCTTTCTTATGCCCATCTCTCTTCTCACTCATCCAATTCTTTTCATTTCTTTAATAATCCACTTTCTCACTTCCTTCGGCTTTTCTCTCTCCTATTATGTAACAAGTCATTCATGTCTCTCTACCTCCCACATTTCTCTCCCCCTCTAACCTTTCTCTCTACCACTATGTAACATGCAATTAATGTCTCTCTAAATCATAACTCCTTCATTAGATATCTCCTATAACATCTCTCCTTTGTCACTCATATCTCCCTCCTTAGATCTCTCCCTCAATATCCCCCTCCTTATCTTTTGAAAAACTTTTTCTCTTCTCATAATTTCTCTTCTCGCTTATTCATCTCTCCCTCTTTCGTAATTTATATTCTCTCTTATTCATCTCTCCCTCCTTAAAAACCCCTCTCTCAATCTCACCCTTCTCTCTTATTCATCTCTCCCTCTTAAAAACCCCTCTCTCATTCTCGCCCTTCTCTCTTATTCATCTCTCCCTCATTAAAAATCTCTCTCTCAATCTCTCCTTCCCAAAGCTCTCTTGATGAACAACCTCTCCTATCATATCTCACTTAAAAGGCTAAAACCATTATGCCTCAACCCAAAAGCTTGTCCCACTCAAACTTATCCTATGAGGAAGTGCTCTCTCTCTCTCTATGGACTATCTTAGCACTCGCTCTAGTTACTTTTTTTTGTTAGAAATATTTTTCTAAATGAAAGATAGAAGGTATGTTATCAGTCTCTATCTATATA